TAATCACTGAAACAGGACTGTGGGCTTCTCCCTCAAAATGTCCCCTGTAAAGACCCTCATAAAGGGCCCCTGTTCTCTTGGTCTTTTCACTAGGCTCAGTGAGCTCAATCAACTGGGTTTCTAACTCTACAGAGAGCTCCTGGATACTACCTTATTCTGGAGGCAAGTCTCTGTCTCTCTTCCTCTGATCAAAAAACAACAACCTCAAAGCCCTTTAAGTTACAGTATTATTATTATTATTATTAGAATCTCTAAAAAGAAAGGTCAACGCCTCCTTCTACCTATGTTGTGCTTTCCCTTGTCCTGTGAAAAAATTTGTGCACCATTAGGTGCACACCTCTGGGAGGAGTTGTATAGAGCTAATTGGCTAGCTCCACCCCCTATTGACTCACAAATGCGACTCACCAAAGCTCCACCCACTCAGCAACAATCACACTCTTCCCAAGTGTTTTTAAAAAGAATTTAAAAACTCACCCACTCAAAATGGCTGCCTAGAAATTGCTTTCCTTTTCCTTCCTTGCTTTGGCCCAGAGGCCTTGAGGCAGTGGTGCTGGTCTTGTCTGGGCCTCGAAGGCTCTGAGGCAAGTGGCTCAGCCTTGCTTGAGCCCTGGAGGCTCGAGGTGGCCGGCGCGGCCATTTCTCTGCCGCACCAGCCTTCTGGGGGGGGGGGGGGGGGGGGAGGAGAAGGAGGGAGGGAGAGAGGGAAAAAACCTCAAGTCCCATTGTCCCCAGTGTCACTGCCATTGAGGACAATGGGACATGAGCATTCATGAAATTTCAAATTTGCGGGGGTGGGGGGTCCAGAACAAAACCCCTGCTAATTCGGAGGGATGACTGTAATATGTTTGCATTCATATAACTTCTGAAATCTATTTCTTATTTGACCACACATATTTTTAAAGCTGTAGGGTAGGGGTAGGCAACCTTTCCCCTTTAAGGGCTGAGGGACTTCAGCTCCCAGAAGCCTCAGCCATGTTGGCCAATGGTCCCATGTTGGCCAATAGCTCCTGGGATTCTGGGAGCTGAAGTCCCTCAGCCCTTAAAGGGGAAAGGTTGCCTACCCCTGATGTAGGGAATACACTGTACAAATAGAGCATTAAATTTTCATTTCTAAAACAATCCAGGTGATCTTCTAAAGTGAGGCATAAGTAGAACTTGTAAAAACTTCAGGTTTTCCCCAATATCACATACCTTATCTTCCTGCGTATAAGACTACTTTTTAACCTGCAAAATCCGTTGTTAAAGTGGGGGGGTCGTCTTATATGCCGGGTCGTCT